TATTCAAACTATCCTTCCTTCCATATGTATGTATCTTAAACTGATCAACACAAAGAAAGCTACTTCCCTTTGAGCCTAGTGAAAACAATCAATCAATTCCAACTGCCCTCCTTTAAGTTGACTTCATCCACCCTGTACTCTTTCCAGAACAAACGCGTGTATGTATTTGTGCTTTATAATATCCCTGCCAGAGTATTTATTTCACATTGCGTACAGCACAATTTCCAAGTTGAGTATAGAGTCAGATTTTTGAAATTTATTTAATTTTTGGGAAAATTATTATTATTTTAGGGTTTGCTATTCAATTAAGCCAAATCCAAATCGAAGTTTTCTACCAGCAAGAATCACCGTTCATGGCACTTATCAGACTAACATAATAACAGGACCGATTGAACTATGGTAATTAACACAATAATACCTACAATATATATATACTTATTTAATAATAATGAAAATATGTATTCGGATATACATACATATTTTAATTGTTTGTGGCTGATAAAAAAGGAATTTTTATATTTGGTAAGACAAATCTGAAAAAAACGATCAGAATTTAACAAAGTGAAGAAAAATAGAAAAAAAATTGGAGAAACTAAAATGGGTTCTTATGTAACATAAACTTATTTATGTCTTTCTATGTTTTACGTATTTGTTTCTGTCATTTCTCTTTTAGTGCAAGTAAAATTGTTACGTATACGCCCCATCAAACATATGCGTTGATATCATTGTTGTATAAGAAATATGAATTAAGCCACTTAAATTCCTGCAAGCTGCTGATCGGGGCTACTTTCTAACTTAAAAATTACTTTCTAATTTCATGTAAATGCGCGAAGTGTCATCAGTTGAGCTTCAGATACCAAGAAATACATAGTGGCCATCATTCCGAATTGAATAAATTTCCAAGCTTCTGCTTCAAATACCTCTCCTATTTCTAAAAGTTTTAAAAACTTGTCTCTAACCTTTCCAGGTTACTTTAGTTAATGGTTTATTTGTATTTTGCGGCAGTCATATCTCTTAAGTGTATGCTTTGAAAAATTTAGCCTGGCTTGACTACTGAAGAAAAATCACACTCTTTTGGTACGAAATATAAATCAAAGCTTTAGTGACCTTGCAAAAAGATTCAAGTTCGATATATATTTCACTAATACGATATGTGGCAGTGTTCCATTACTAGCTACTAAATGCTTTTAAGCAGCATGCAAATGGGCGATTACATAGCACATCCGAAGACATAACAGAAAAGTGAAAAAGCTCGTATTTAATGCACATAAAATTTTATTTATGGTCTCCAAACATTAATATTAATATTTTGTCTAACAAGGCCGTGACGTTCGAATCTCAAAATTGTATGATTTTCTTGTTTTTTTTTCCTTTTTCCCTTTAAAATTTAAAAATAAGCACGTTTTCCGGCGTGTGTTTTATTTTATTTGTTGCTGAGATCATTTATTTAAAAATTCTGAATACAAATTCCACAAAGATTCAATTATAAGTGCTTGCAAGTTTTGATTTTCGCAAAATTGAAATTAATTGCATAATAAATAGCATTATGGAGAAAATTTGGAAACTGAAATGTTCCTAAAAAATTTTATGTGTTTAAAGTCATGAAACAAGCACAAACATTTAAAAAAATTGCACAAAAATATATTTGTAAAATAATTTACATACATATATTTGTTAGCATCCGCTAATCAAGCGTAGAAAGCTGACTTTGTTAGACCTTGTTGGGAAAACTTGAACTAAATGAGTTTACTAACGCCAAGGTCTTGGCTATATTAGGACACTTGTAGTTGTGTTTTTTCCCCGCTGGCAAGTGAAAACTTTATTCATAAACGATAGCCATAATTGTAGTAACTACATGCTCATGTAGCCAACCAATAAAAATGAAATAAAGTTCATAAAAAAAAAAAACAAGTGAAATAATGAGTAACATTTTTTAATCCTGCTGTTATGATTACTCAAGAGCTACAAAATTTTGAAGAAAAGATAAAAACGTAAAATACTAGAACAAAAAAATGCTGTAGTCATTAACGTAAAAGGCACTAATTGACAATTTTGAAATTTTGTAGGAGAAAGAAAAAAATCTTTCATATATAGTGAAATATATTCCTTTGAAAGTTAGGTCCATCTGAGGGCAAACTAATTGAATATTAAAAAATGCATTTCCAAGAAAATGTAAATTTTAACCTTTTGTTTTGTATAGTAAAATGATTTTGTTTGCAAGATTTTTCATTTCTTTTTTTTTATGAATCCAGGAATAATTGTCACTTCGGCTGCCACCAAATATAGAAACCCTTAAAGTCCTTTAGCGTTTCATTTTATTTTATCAATATTTCTTTCCAACAATTGCAATTTTTTTAAGAAATGAACTGAGTGATGAAAAAATCAAAAGAGGTAAACTTTTCTAAAATCTGGTTATCAAAGAAAGATTAATAATAATAGATTGGCTCTTACACATATGTTTGTGTTTGGCCGAGCTTCTCCTCCTCCTTTCTAAAAATCCTCAATAACTGTTGTCTACGACATATAATATAAAAAACAAAAATAACTATTATTTGTTACTATTAAGATAAAAATTAAAAATAACTGTTATTTTGGATTTATAAAATAAAAATCATAAATAGCTTTTATTTAAGGAGTAATTAAATAAAAGCAAAAAAATAATTGTTAAAGAGCGATTTTTATAATTAAAGTAGTAACTGTTATGGTCCCTGGAATTGACGTATGTAAATACTAGATTGAATTGACAAAAGTTTGCAAGAAATCAATAACTAAGGCATTGGAAACCAGATTTAATTTTGCACGTGCACATACGAGAGATGAGAGCATTGACACCATAATTGTTTCTGGGGAATCCTATATAAAACAATTCAGAATGCCGAAGAATTCTGGAGGAGATATTGAGTGAAATTTTATCTAAAGGGCCGGGACAATCACTCGATCCATTTATGATTTTGACAACAAGCGAGTACGCTAAAAGCGATATCCTATTTTCAAGGGTATCCAGACTAATTAGCAGGCGCCGAGAATGATATGTAGGTAATGGGATAGAAGGCCTCTAAATATAAGCTCCATACTCTAACTTCCATCCAACAAAGACACAAAACAGAACATTATGTGTGTAAAGATTGGTGAATGCCGAACAGTTTCGGCGAATAAATTCTAACATTGAGTATGGAACGAACAAAGCATCCCGTCACCCATTAGCTAAATATGACTTAATCCAGGATAGGAATTCCTAATGAAAACGAAATTACACCAACTTCAACAGAAGTATTCGGGTGACACTTTGTCGAAGGCTTTTGAAAAATCAATGTAAATCGTATCTAAATATCTGGATGTTTTTTTTTTGAAATACAGAAATGCATTAATTACTGAAAACAGCCAGATTGGTAAGTTTTCCATAAAATTGTGAGGCCTTTCCTTAGACAACACTGCTCGTAACTTATTGCAGTAATGTGGCCCAGTTGTGGTCTATGTTTCCGATGCTAATGGGTCATCGTCCTCAAAACTTAATATATTCTGCGCTTATCGTTAAAAAATATGGTTTGTATATGATGAAAATAAAAATATAGAAATCTTCTAAGGTCAACAGTCGAATGCAGTAAAATTGCGCATTTTGTCTTAAAGCGATGCTGACTCGTGCTTTAAGTAATTTGTTTCGAATTTTGGTATAAGGATTATTAAAAAAAACGTATTTCCGAATAATGCAAAAGACCACTTTGAATTGATGATAGCGATCCAAAAAATTACAGTATTCTCATTTTCAGTTTGACATATTTTTTATTTTTGTATTTATAGGTAAAGGTTGTGTGTGTTTTAAACAATATGGTACAGGTGTAAATATATATGTACGCAAATGTGATTTGCTGATAAGGGATCTAAACTGGAAAAAATAATATAGAGCAAAATTTCAATAGATAAATCTCACAGTTCAAAAACGGTTGAATATACAGTGACTCAAACAAATGACCGCGTGTTGATTTTTTTGAAATATTCTTAATTATTTTGTTTGTTATTTTTCTATAAAAATATCGTCCAAGCTTTAACCAAAAACATATAAAACATAGCATTAAACTTTATACAAAATTTAGGAGAATGAAACAACTTTTCATCAAAAGCTCAACTTTTTAATCTGAATGTCCATACAATTTTAATCAATCAAGTGTAGGTCTCAACCGGCTAAAAAATCGTGTTGAATTTTGAGAATTTTTTTTTGTTTTAGAGATTTGTTTTGCTAGTTTTTTTTTTGTTTTATATAGCAAGTGCAATTTACAAAATCTGGCGTTGATTTTTTGAAATTTTGTTGACAACGGTCTCCTCCAATTTATTTTATAAGAAATTCATGTTTATATGGAAAAAGGTGCAAAAATTCGTCACCAATAAAAAAATCTCAAAAATCAACGGGACTAAAATTGTATTTACTCTAAAATTTCATACCCAAAGGTGCTCTAAAGATTCAGATTAAAAAGTTGGAATTTTGATGAAAATTTGTTGAATTCTCCTAAATTTCATATATAGTCTGAAACTGTGATTTATATGGCTTTCGTTAACGCTGGGAAAGAATTTTTGTTGAAAAAAAAATCTAGCTCGAAAAACATTACGAATATTTAAAAAAAAATCAACACGTGGTCATTTGTTTAAGTCACTGTACGTTATGTATAGATGGCTTAGTGGATAAAATTGCACCTTCGTAAGAAGCAGAATTTTTGTTATATAGTATGTATACAGCAAATAGTGCTTACTCATAATTGCATGTAGCGTTTGTGTAACTCTGAAAAATGTTTTAGATGTATTTCTCTGAATTTTTTATACAATTATAAAAGCAAAAACAAATACTGGATTATTTTGGGTTCGTGCACAATTAATTACTAACACAGGCAAACTATTGGAATTTGCTCTTAGTTTATCTTCAAATTATCTAAAACAAATTTTATGCTAATTTTGCTAATATAACAACACATTTTTTTTTCTCATTTCCCCAACGCTTTTGTTTTGTACAGGACCTCGCTGTTCATCGTCACCAGTTTGGTGTATGCCATCATTTTGATTGTTGTCTGCATTGCCTATGTGATTAGCGATGTGACAACCCACCGTCTGCCAGTGCTCTACTATGAAACATTCTTTACGTATTTGTATGGTGTCAGCATACTCTTCCTATTGTATGTATTTTGCTTCCTGTTGCAGGGTAAGTTGACAAAAATAAAAATAAAATAAAAGCAAAATAATATGATTTAAAAAAATGTATACTAATTTGATCGAATTGTGGAAGACCTGTTGATTCTTTGAGCTTTGTTTCTTCTTTTTTTTTTAAGTGAAAAGCAATCATTTGAGTTTTCATTAAAAACACAGTTTCTGTTTTATTAAAAATTACCCCTCCTTTCATTACTTCTTATGCCACAGAGAGTTCCTGCTGTAATGGCGGCAGTAAACCGAAATCACCACCAAAGGAGAAAAAATCAAAGAAAAAATTACCAGATCCAACCGATTCGAAGGATGCGAAGGGTTCCAAGGATTCTGGCAAAACTGGCAAACCGAGTCCATATCAGGTGTGTTTTTATTATAAGAAAAATTATTTATTTTCTTTTTCAATCTTTTTGTTGGCTGAAGAATTTTTATTATTCCACTTGTTTACATAAATACATTGAAAATTGAACTTGTAATTTGTGTGTATTTTCCTCGCATAAACTCTCATACATATATGTCCGTCTCACGCACATCCCTACACCTTTTAGCAGCCTTCAGTTACCCTCTCTGAAAGTAAGAAATTCCCCACACAAGCACACACACCCTAGCTGAATTTTTAATACTATTTCAAGTGCACGAATATTTTTTGCCAAGTGCAGTTGAAGCTGAAAATTTTATGTATTTCAAAATTCTTTGGGGGCCTTGTAGGTAATTGTGTGCTAATTGGCTGTAATTACTTTAACTTTTGTTCATTACTTAATCCATTAGCGCTTACGTTGTGTGGCTTTTGTAATTTGTATTTGGGGACTAGCGGTAATTTTAATGTTTAATGTTGTTTACCTTCATGATTTTGTCACATCATTTTTTAATTTTCAATTTTTAATTTCTGCGGTTTCATTGTCAGAACCGATATTGTTTTTGAATTAATATTTGGATTAAATTAAGGATGAAAAATATTATTTGAATAGAAAGAAAAATTTGTTAAAAATAAAAAGTATAAAAGCGAAATAATCTTCTTTAATTAAAAAATTCAATGAGCACATTAGAGAAGATGCATTGTGTTAAAAAAATTAAGGGAAACTGCGCTTTATTAAATGTTTTACTTCTCTGCTGGATCTGTTCCGAGTCTCCTCTTGGGGATCTAGACTTTGGACTTGGTGCAAGGTCTATAGGAAAATATACGTCTCCCACTTATGTTTTTAACTATTTAGAAGTTCTCATTTTCGTTCTTGGTATTTCCGACAGGGTAGGAGTAGATATGATGTATCCTTCTGAACGAAACCCGCTTTGTCTCCAAACCAAATTGGACAATGGGTCACGGAAAATCGTTCCACAGTACATCATATTTAGAAGTTTTTTGAATTTTCTTGGTCTGGTTTCAAAACATTAAGACGAAGACTAGACTTAAGTTGATAAATTAGCATTGGCGGAGTCATTGCGTATTTTTCGGTGAGCTTCGTAATTCCCCATTCCTAGGAAGACTGGTCTTTTGTGGCGAAAAAAATTACAACCTACCCCTTAAATACCATCACACTGAGCGCTTAACTTTCCTATGATGAAGTTATGCTATTGAAGTCGTTCGAACCCTATACCGCCTCGGGACTAATACCGTTGAATTCCACATGATTGAAAAGAAATCCACTTCTCCACACCAGTTATTATAGTTGTCTTCACTTTTCAGCAACACATAATCCAAATATAGAGCCTGCTGTTTCCTAAAGGAGTACTAAATGCTTTTTGGACGGCTACCTACATTTTGTGCGGCCAGCGAGCGGGTCGTGTAAACCGGCTGTTAGGCTTATCAGAGAGTTGGCTGAAAATGAAGCAGGAAATTTTTAGTTTTTTTTGGCTCTTTGTATTTTGCTATTTCCAAGGATACATGGTAAATAAAAATGGAGCCAAATATAATACTCGCTCGGGGCGATTCAATGTTTATTGCCCAGGGTGTATCTAGGAGCAACTGTAGCAAAAGTGGCATTTGAGTTTTGGTGCGGTTAAGGTTTGACCTTAAGTAAACTATGCTTGGGTTATGAAAAAATAAAAAGTTCTTTGAATGGTACAAATTCAAAAAAGTTACGTAGAAAATATAATTTTCGTTGCGTCTTAAAACGTATCAAAATTTATATGAAAAATAGGTAACCAAGCCATGCAATTTTGTAACTTTTGAACCATTTGGATTAAAGTGCCAACAAATTTAATAAACATATTCGAACGATTTACTAAATCTTAAAAAAAAAAATAATAATTTCATTAGTCCGATTTCGAAATTGTCTCAGGCTCTTCTTCGAATTCTCCTTTATCTCCTTCAATTGCACAAGAACTCTTTCAGCGGAAAGTTAAGTTTCAGAAAATGTTATATGGGTCCTGCAGAATTATACATCTGCCTCCATAGCATAAACTAAAGAGCTTATAATTGCTATATGTATGTACATATGTACAATAAAACGTACGACCCTACAAGCGAACAAAAAAGTTCGCCATACACCCCTTAGTCTAAAGTATTTTTGCAAGGCAATGCCGATTTTCCATTGCTGAACTTTGGAGTTGCTGTTTTACATTTGACGTGTGACACTACTACTTTAAGATCCGACTTTAAATGCCGAAGATATGCCGAAAAATTTAAAAAGGCGACCCGACCGCTACGTCGCCCAAAAAAACATTTTTTTTTAATTGCCTTGCAGAAATATTTCAGACATAGGGATGTACGACGAACCTTTTCCCTGGTACCGTTTAATGTACAAATTATTTTTTTTCGTGTACTTCTCTAATATGACTTACTATCCGCGACTACATTTAATCATCTATTTTCATAGTTAAAGGAAAAATAATTGCCAATCTCTATCTTCAGCGTTAAATTATTTGTTTTCTATTATGAAATGTTATTTTTATTTATTTCTATATGTAATATTAATTTAAATCCTTATTTTTTATTTTTTCACTACTACCTTTCATCACCATCATCATCATCCACAACAACTTAATCATATATGTATGTATGTACACTACTACCGCCTGCTACTGCCAATACATACACAAAAATTTGTGCATTAATTAAAAAAAAAAAACAAAAACAAAACCCAAACCGCTCACCAACACAAACGCAAAACGAATGCTGTACATAAATGCGCTCACAAAAATATGTACCTGCGCGCACAATCAAAAAAAAAACGAAAAAAAACGAAAATAATTTCTGTCTTGAATGTTCCGCATCTTGGCAATGCTATATCCTCGAAAAAACCTGTGTGCAAACTGCTTTACAAAAATGATGAATTGAATAATGAAACTCATATATTCTCAAAAACAAAAAACCAAATGCAAACCAAATACACTGCTGCTCTTCAATGCTATGAATGGCTGGCTGTCAAATTCTATACTCCTGCCAAATAATGCCTAATCTTGCCGCGACAACGCTGATGCTACTGCACACACGCACACACGCACATACATATGTATAAACCAATGTGCTGCAACATTATAATCTAAATGATCTGAATACAATAACATATGAAAATCCACACACACACGCACACACATACTCAAATGTACACATGCAAACAATGCTGCGTGTGCTTTGCATTATCCTGACTACAAATAATAATACGCATTTAAATCGTTGATCCGTTCACTCCAACGTCGGCAGGAGCGATATCCGGTTAAGAAACGTGATCTCGTACGCCAGTCTTTGACGTTACAGGTATGCTTAACAACAACAGAAATACAAAACCACACAAGAGAAAATAACAAAATCAAATAACACTAAATATGTACCTACAGAAATTCGTATAACAACTAAATACTCGTAAATATGAGTAGACCTGCACACATACGTACCTATTAACTCAATGTGGAATGGCATCGTCATACTTTTCTCTGCTTTTTTATATCTCTATCCTTTTCAACTGGCTTTCCTTGCTTAAGCACTTGAGTGACTAACAAATGCTTCATTTTCCTTTTATTCTATGTATGAATTTGGCTTTTCTCTCACTATATCTATGCTCTTTTGTTTTCTTTCTCTTATACTCAAAGTGGTTGTATGTAAATACTAACCTTTGAACGTACTTTGAAAATCTACTTGTAGTTTATAAATAATACTGTCCAGTACTTCTGAAGAGGTTCTGGTTTTAGGGTCGATTCTCATGACTATGGGATAAGCATTTCCTGTCTGATACTCGTATAAAACTGAAACCAATCTAGATGGTTCAGTCACTTGGGCTTCAAAAAGCCAGCCTATGCATAGTTAGTCAAGCATGCTTTCTCGCAAAGAAAATAGGAATTATAGTGAATGCCTGACTCTCTGCAAAAAATGCTTTCCTTCCGAGTGATTTTGTAATACAATTTCATTAAAATAGTTATTAAAATTTGAGAACATTTTCTTGATTGAAAACTAGCAAATATCCGGCGGCTTCACTGTACATTAAAAGTATTTTTATGTTGTTACTCACTCCCAAAATTCGTGCTTTATGAAGTGAGATATTCAACTAATTGTCGAGAGAATTATCTAAAAGCGTAAATGCCTAGTAACCACGTAAATCTCGTAAAGTTAATTAATTTTGTATGGAAAACCGGTTTATTTGCGAGTTTTACCCGTTTACGAGGCAGTTACGCGTTTAGATGAATACCCATACTTTATTTTTTATGAACAAGGATGTCAACCGGGGCAGAACGCGGTTAGGTTTATTCTTTTTAATTTTTCCAGTTCCACCAAAAATGCGTTTCGGTGGTCCAACATGTCTATACTTTAATTTTTTTTAAATAAATTCGAGTGATTACATATCGACACCTGAGTGGAAGATCGACTTATCTCGGCAGCCAGTTCAAAAACGCCCTGTCTTAGGAAACTGTTCAAGACGCCCTGCTCCAGAATTTGATTGAAGAATGCCCTATTTCAGAATTCCATTGAAAAACGCCCTATCTCAGAACTCGGTTCAAAAATTCCCTATCTCAAATGAAAATATATTGAAAATATGTTGGGATATGGCGTTTTTGAACCGAATTCTGAGATCGGGCAATATTCAATGAAATTCTGAGATAGGGGCGTTGTTCAACCAAAAATTTGACACATCATTAAACGGAACCTACAAGAACCTGAATATGCAAATTCGGCCGCAGGGAATTTGAAACTTGTTTTTCGGGACGCAGAGGGTCGTGAAATTACCGCCATCTTGAATACAATGGTGGTACATTTTTTTTTTTTTGTTAAATAAGCCATTTTTAGGCCTTAGAGCTTTTCACCATATTTTTCTCCTAAATAGGTAAATTGATTTCATCTCAAACTATGGATCAGGAACAACACCGCGCTCACGTTGAATCTCTAAATGATACTGAAAATTCAAAATGTTGAAAGATGAAATTTGAATACAATTATTTTTACTCTATCGAAAGCTTCGAAAACCTTAAAATTCACACCAAAGATATGCGTATAGTAGTACTTTTAGGGATTATGTTAGTTCCAAAGCGACGAATTCATACAAGGTGGTGTTACCAGAGCATCTGGACGGAGAGCTCATAACCAAAAAAAACCCATCATACGTAAAATCGGTTGAAATTTTTGGTGAGACTAGCTTGTTAATATACATATAAATCAAGATCCGATGGGCTGGCTGCTGAACAGTGGTCTTGTTTATCCGTTTTTATTTACTAAAGATGTGAATAAAAACCGATTACTCAACATGCTTCAAATGACTTGAAATTTGGATAGAATTTTATATAGTGTATATAGAAAATGAGTTCAAGGTTGCCTGCCAATTCTTATGGTCTTAAAGCACATTAGCAATATTATAACTAGATGAAATATCTACAGCCAGCCTATTCTGATGGTCACATCACATGAAAATGTCAAAAACGTCATTTCCGTGAGTGCATGCTAGCGAAAGAAATCGTATATCGTTCATATGCCATGGCGTATGAGTCATCTATCAACATCAATATTTATTCCAGTTGAAAGAAAAATTTCAAGTCACTGAAATATTTTCTAATTAACCGACTTTACAAAAAGGAGAAAGGTTATCAGTTCGTCGGAATATTTTTTTTCTGTTTTTATGTATGTCACCGCATAACTTTGGACCAAGGTCAAGCGAATTCTATAATTCTTTTTATTATTTGGTTTAAATCCGATCATCGGATCATGAAGAAATTAACGATAATCTTAAATTTTTATTTGAGAATTGAAGTCGAGTTTGTTTTTTGCTTAAAATTTATTTGCTATTAATTTATTTTTACGCTTCCAACATTGTATTCATTCACCTTGGTTTGTTCTTTATCTGCTGAACTTTATGCTGCTGTTCTTATCGATCTGTTTACCTGGAACTCCAGGCATCGAGATTCATGCATAAAAATCGTAAAATCGTTATTAAAAACAATAGATTTGTAAAATAATAGCTAGAGAAAATACCGCCTCTCAAAGCAATGCCATCAAAAAAACATAAAACAGTTTTTTCGCTCTCCTGTAAAATTTGAGTGCCGTAAGATAGGCGGTTTTGCACTTGGACGATGGGCGGTTTTGCAAAAACATCGCCAAAATACATATATTTTTATTTAATTTAACTCTTAAAAACTTTTTCTCTGTTATTTGATTTTCTTTTAATTGTTAGATTTTATTGTTTTAAGAGCTGTTTTCAGTCTCAAGAAAAACGGAAAATTCATACAAAATGACACACAAGCAATTAAAAAGAAATTTTATTTTAGCGAAATTTCTTAAATCAGTTTGCAGCTCTCAAGAAAAAAATATTCGTATATTTATTTCTTTAAGAATATTTATAGCAAAAGCAAAGTGTTTTTCAAGCCACAGAAATAATGAAAAATATTTCTCATGATTTTTCTTGAGATCTGGATTCTAAGCTTTAAGAAGAAACGTATGTATATTTTTTAATTTCATTTTATTTTGAGAAACTTTTTGTCCTTTATAATTTTTTTTTAATGTTCTTTTACACGAAGTTGGAACCCTTCCGGCACTTCTGAAATTGGCATCAATGATGTTAATTTAAACTTTTCAATCAAATTCATTCAATCGCAAATCTTTCTAACATCATCGATGTATGGATGTTTAAAGCAGAATCTCATTGTTGTGAAAATTTTAGATGAAGGGTATTGTATGTAAGCCGTCGATTAGTATTTCCAGTACCAACAAAACAAAAAATGTTACAAAGCTTACATTTTCCAGTGCTCGGCAATAATGGATTTCAATAAGACTTGCCTAGCAGTTTTTCGGACTTTCAGTGATTGTGGTCTCATTAATTTAAATAAATTTCAGCGAAAGCTTTGTAGCATAAATCTTCTGATTTGCAGAAACTCACAAACTTGCATATTTAATAATAAAAACTTCAAAACAAACTCGTAAGGAAAACATAAGTTTTATTCTATCACTGCCCGCATTGAAAAAGTTGCCTCTACTGCAGCTCACTTACATACATACATACATACGAGTAATAAGTAAGACCTAACCATTCATAGTTCTTCTTCAACTTTCTTCATAAATCTATTCAATGCATATCAAAATATGAAAAAAAAAACTTTTATGTTACAATCACATTTTGCGGTAATGCGTATGTATGTACGTATGCGGCAAAGTTGCGAAGAGAAGCCGCGAAAATTTCAAAATTTATCACATTTATTGCAAAACAGACAAAGTTGTGGCCACTTGCTGTAAGTGGCAACAAGATGTTGCTGCGTTGAGCGAGAGTTGTTGGCGGAGGTGGCGACAGCAGCCCGTTTAGAAGCATCAGCCACCACCCAAGTAGACAGTGCAGTGCGCCAGTGAAGTCAAGCATTTATGCAGTGAGTGAGTGCGCCAAACAGTGTGTCAGTCAGTCAGTCAGTCAGCCAGTTACTAACTGCTGTCAGTTGCATTCAAACTCACTGTTGTCAGCCACAGTTCGGGATGTGAAGTGCATATGCTTACGTATGCTTGTATGTTTGTACATATGTATGTGTGTATTTCGTTTCGTACGCCACAAAGTTTGCGTAAGTTTGCAAAACTTTGCTCTGCTCTGGCGTATGTCTCTCAATGTCTGTCTGTTGACTCTAATAAATCTGGCTCCAACGCATTGGTTATGAATGTCTCATTGTTGCGCCGCCCCCTTTTTGGGCCACATCACATTTAGTATTAATTACCATTCAGCATCAAATTGCCATAATTGTTTGAGCTAAGTATAATGTGTTGTGGTGGTTGTTGTTGCAAACAAGTACATACAAAACTGCCAAGACAAATTGCAACCAAGCGAGCTGAATGAAAACGAAAAATTGTTAAAAAGTCGTAAGGAAAAGTGATTGAAGTGATTAAGCAGGTGCGAATGGGGAGGCGTTGGTGTTGTTAAATGTAAATAGGCAGCTAGCCTGGTTAAATTTTGCATTTGGTGGACTCATGTGAACTAGAAAGTTAATATTCCGAATGAGTAAAACAGTGCTTCTAAGCATCATATCTTTACTAATAGCGCCTAATACGGTGTTTGCATGAGGCGATTTCTTGCATCAAAAGTTGAAATCGATTAGTTGAGAGGCCGTTTACAACAGGCGATTCCTATAAGGAAGCGAAGACGCAATATTTTGGTAAGGTTTTGTTTAAGGTGAAGTTTTTGCAGCCAACAGATTTTTCTTTTTGAAGTGATGGCAGTTGTTGTTCCACTCGTATTCCTGATTTAAGTCAGAGGTCGATCCAAATCCGAATCGACATTTTCCTTCTGGAGTTGATTTGGCTTGGGAGTAGAGGGAATGGCCAGAAGAAGGCTTGGACCTCGATTTGAACGCGACGCCAAGGACGAGGAATGTAAACCAAGATTCCTTTTCTTCATCTTAGGATGCTGAGAAATTTAACCCTCGCCACCACAAAGGAAACTTTTGTTATGGTTGACGCCCTCAGGAGCAGTGCCGGGGCAATGGTACATGCTTATAGGTTTTTAATATTCTTACTATCATAAAGGCTAGATCTTTTCCCCATACTGGCACTATTTATGGATATTCTTTACGATATTCTCCTCGTTCCACACTAATTAAGTTTCATTTATTCCTTACTGTTCAAGATGCTAAGCAAAAAGGCATTCATGAAATTGTTTAGTAAGTCATGGGTTAATCCATGTCGAATCGACATGTTTGGAATCAACAATTTTGAATTGGTTGAAATTCGGTCAGAACTTTTCTTTTCTCATTTAACTAAGTACTGCAAGAATAAATAATAACTTTTATTTTAAAGTTATATTAAAATATTTTTATTTAATCTAAACTAATTTTAATTAATTTACTATTACTACTTTTCTAAATGTTTGGCAGACGATCTACAATTTTAAAAATGGTTTTATGAACGCATTTCAAGACAGAAATACATATGGGGGTGTGCCACTGCCAGCCACCACAGTTCGAAATTTTTTTCTTTCCCAATTCCTACGGAGTGGTAACGCGCTTCTCTAACCACTCAGTCACAGCGGTCGCGTATTTTTAATTTAGAGTCTGCAAAATTTTTTTTTTTAAATTCATATTAAAAAAATCCTTCTTAAAAATTAAGGATCTTTAAGTATCAATTAGAGGTATTGTATAATAAAATGCAGCCTTAAATTTATATGTACATAAATATAAGTTTTTACTTTTACAATTTTTTTATTTTAATTTAATTTTTTAGAGATATTCTTTTATATCACCTTTAAATCAAGACCAGACCGATTTTTGTAACTATAATACATTTTGAGGTCGCCGCAGTGGTGTAGTGGTTAGCAGTGCTCGCTACCATTCCTCAGGGCCCAGTTTCCGACCAATATCGTAAAAAAGAAAACCTTTTTTCTAATAGTGGTCGGCCCTCCCATTTGTGTGACAACATCAAGGCGCACGCCAACATTTCGGAAGAGAAACTCGGCCAATCCATTATTATTAATAGTTTTTGGTATACAAAATATATCTAAATAAATAAATACTAATTCCTGCTTATTTTACGCTGCCTTCTGGAAGTTTGCGTTTGTAATTTTGGTAATCATAGCTTAGTTTCTTCCCCGTTTTTATCTAGCAGCTAACTAATCGCTTGATTAGAAGGTCTATGCATTTCTTAAGAGATTCCCAAAACTATCACTTCCTGATTTATGTAAGCATACATGCTATTTTTTAAACGTGCCAAATGTATGTAAATATTTGTCGTATGTTGTGTCTTATCAGCAGGTATTTAGACGTATGCATGTCGTACCTTTCAAGTATTAGAATTAATAGAAACACTTATAAATACTTTGTAGAAATCAGCGCAACAGCAATTAGGATACTTCACACCCACCACACATTGTAGAGAATCCTTTGACATGTCATCCTGTAACAAGTATATTATGCTACCAACTAATATCCATATCACTTAAACTAAACTTTTCATACCCATTCTACTTAGGTACTAACATATATAGCATATCTGACGAAATTTTAACTGAACTTTTTTTGTTTCCTTAAACTACTTATAAAAACTTTCATACGTGAATATATGCATAAATAATGTAATTTTTTTAAATAAATAATTACTCACAGGATTCGCAGGCTGAGGCTGAGGTCGCTGTTACTACGAAGAATGTACGAAAACGCAAAACAACCCACAGTGATCCCACACATGGTAGCTTCTTTTTGCGTGTGGGTGCCATTGGTAAGTGGAAAATAAAAACTAAAAATATAGAAAATATACACGACGAATAAATAGCCTCTTCTTTTCTTGAAGTCGGTTAAAAAAATTTAATTTAATGAAATGAAATAAAGTAAAATTAAAGGAATGATAAAAATGAAATATATATAAATATTTACTGAAATCCATAAAAAATTCTATAAATTAAAAAAACTTTAGCAATTATATACCAAGAATGCCAAGTAACGAAAAAAGCTTCTTTGCATAGCCATTAATTTTCTACAAAAAATATATTTATTCTCCATTTTACAGCATTTGGTTTGGGCGCCATGATCTACATTGGACTGGAGTTTGGTTCTTTCTTCGAAATCCCATTCGACTCGCCATGTCATCACATTTTGATCGGCGTTAATCCATTGCTACAAATGATCTTCACCTTTATGCAGATGTATTTCATTTTCATGAATGCCAGAGTGAGTAAAATAGCAAAATTTGAATATGGAATAAAAAACGGTTGAAGCCAAAGCGATCTGAAGAAAATTTTGATATATATGTACAAAAGTTGCGCTTTGTAAAACATAATTGATCAGTGCCAAAAATCAGTTTGTGACTCTCGAGGAAGCCATTACATACACCCCAGTTGCTTGAGCAGGTTATATCATTAATTTTATTATCCACAAAGATAATGTGGGAGTTGTAAAAGCCAAATAATTTTATAAATCTTTGAAGCCATATCAAAGGTTTCGCGGAATCTGAAGCATACAAAAATTTCAATGGAATTTCTTATTTTTTTTTGTTTGTGAATGAGGCTTAGTTCTCAAAAATACAATGATCTAAGAAATTGATTCTAGTACGATTTTCACACAAATTAAATGAACTTTCCCTCAATCCCTTATCCTCACCGCAACTCTCCTTTCTTATGAGCCCAACAACAAAATAAATAGATTTCTACAGACCTACATCCCGCTTCACTTGAATAGGTACACATTTCTTCCTCAAGATCAAAGCTATATCTGGACTTGTGGGCATAAGAGAAGTCTTTTTATACCCGAGCGCACTTGTGCACAAGGGTATATTAATTTT